CCCTAAACCCTACAGCCATAAACCCTAAACCACAGCCCCCCCCCCAACCCCCCAAGCCCTAAAACCGACAGCCTAATTAAGGCGAAGATGCTCTTGAGCGTCCATCTTTGCGGACTCTTCGCCTCAGGAGAGTTTTCGGTACAGGGCTGAGGGAGTTTGGGCTTTGTACGTGCATTAATAACTATTAATAACCCTAAACCCGGTGTAGTGTTTTCGGGAGGTAAGGGCTGAGGGCGTAAGGTTTTAGGGAGTTTGGGCAGAGTTCATGTGCTTTTTGTTGTAAAACGGGTGGTTTAGGCGAGGTTGTGGGGTTTTAAGGCATTAAGGAGTTCGGACAGGGGGCTTGGGCTAGTGTTTCAATGCTATGGGTTTAGGGATGATTAGAACTTTTGCTTTACCGTTGGGGTTCAGGGTCTTAGGGTGTAGGGTGTTAGAGTTTTAGGGCTTCGGGTCCGGTGTTTAGGGTTTAGGGTTTTTGGCGGGTATAAGGTTTAGTCCATGACATGAGGGGCACTGGGATCTGAGCTCAAGTGTCCTAGCAACTCAAAACCCACCTTAAACCAGAACATCCCTATACCCCGAACTCGAACGCCGCAGACCCCTCTTTGGTCAGCCTCATCCTCCCGGCATTTGCTTTCAGGGTTGTACAATCTAAGTGTAGGACCCTAAACCCATAAACCCTAAACCCCTAAACCCTAAACCCTAAACGGCGTTGAGAAGTATGAGGGACTCAAGGGATGATCTTGTGCATTACACGGCGCCTCTTCCCTAAATCATTGACCCTCAACCCCTAAACCCTAAATCCCTAAACCCTAAACCCTAAAACCCTAAAACCCTAAGCCCTAAAGCCCTAAAATCCTAAACCCCTAAACCCCAACCCTTGACCCTCACCCCTAAACCGCTAAACCCTAAACCCCTAAACTCTAAACCCCTAAACCCCAACCCTTGACCCTCAACCCTAGATAAAGTCTTCAAGGTTTGGGCCTTGTAACAGGTCCGGAAGAATCTGAAACCGTCCTTTGCAGGACCTCCCTTCGCTGGCCCGCCCTCTCCGCGACCTCCGCCATGTGCTGCTGAGCCACTTGCTTCGTCTTCTCTCCAGCAGCACTTCCCAGCCTGTGTCCAGCCACGATCCCAGCGCGGTGCCCCTCCTCCATGCCAGCACGTCGGCCTTCCAGCATGCCAGCAAGACGTCCCTCCTCCCGTCCCTCCTCCATGCCAGCACGATGGCCTTCCTCCACCCCGGCCAGATGTCCCTCCAGGCGGCCTTCCAAGCGGCCTTCCTCACGTCCCTCCTCCCGTCCCTCCTCCAGCCCAAGCCGCCCGCACCGAAGCTTTTTACACACAAACGAAAGGCCATGGTTAAAAACCATCAGAAACCCTGAGGCTCTTGTGCAACCCTATGAAAACCCGATAAGATTTCAGAGCCCTGCAGAGAAACTCTAGACCCCATTCTAAATCCCTTTCCAGGAGCCCTTAACCCCTTGTAAACGACAAAACTCAACGCCAGAGAAGCCCCTGTGATACCCGAACAGAACAGCATGTTATCCCCGTCTTTAAGGTACCGAGTAACTATATATACCCGTCTAAACCCCAAATAAAACCCTGAACCCCTAAGCCCCTAAACCCTAAACCCCAAAGCCCCTAAACTTTGACCCCTAGGCCCCTAAACCCTTCAACCTTAAAGCCAAACTTACCGAAGCTACAGGGCCCCTTACAGGAGTCGCCAAGGCCACTTCCGGGAGACTTACTCCCAAGCATGATAGTAGCTCCTAATCTAGAAACCCTAGTTAGGTACTTCGGGCCTCTATTTAAATAGATCCCCTAAGCCCGAAAACCTAGACCCCTACCACCCTAAACCCTATAAACCCTGAACCCTAGACCCCAAAAGCCCGTAGCCCCTAGACCTCTTTTGTAAAGAAGCCCCCCCTAAACCCTAAACCTCTTTTGTAAAGAAGCCCCAAAAGCCCGCTGAAGCCCGGGGTGCGCAGCTCCCGGCGCTGGCGCAGAGCTCCCACCGTCTGCTCGGGGAGCTGCTTCACGAAAGCCTGGTACGTTATCGTATATGTATGTATGTATGTATGTATGTCTATGTATGTATATATATATATGTATGTGTGTATATATATATGTATGTATGTCTGTACATGTACACACCTAGATATATGTGTGTATGTATATACACATATTTCTAAGCATGTGCACGAGCATCTATGTGTATAGATACATACGACTGGTATAATTATGCACTGGTGGATTTTCCCATGCGCTTTTTATTCGTATTCTCATTGTTACAAGCACTATTGGTTCGGGGCTGCAACTTTTAAGATTTTGACACTGCAACCAATCCCTAAACGAACGCTGGCCTCAAACAAGGGAACATGTTTAATAGCCCCTTGAGGCTGCTTCACCCTATTCAGCCGGATGTATTTTCTTCCTTACGGGGTTCTTGTTAAGGAATGTAATTTCAGCTACCATAGTAGGGATCTACAGTACACAATATGATTTCCCTATCATCCCAACTTTAAATAAAACCCCTTCAGAAGAACCGTTCCGAAGGAACCCCCAGACCCCCGTCTTCGGCCTGCATCGCAAGGACCAGCGAGGCCAGAAATGTTCCCTCCACAGGAGGCCAGGGTTTGCCTGTCCGACCCGGGCAGCGTCGATTCGGCTTTCAGGCTCTTGGGCTCCCTTTTCTTTAAAAGGTTTAGGGTTTAGGGTTCAGGGTTGTTTGGGGGGGATTAGCCTTCAAAAATGAGGCTCTGGCATTCAGGATGTAGAGTTTCGGGGTTCCGGGCTTCGTCTCTATACTCTGAAAGCTAGACCCTTCTCAAGGCTTCAGTGACGTCTGGTGTTCAATCAGAGGCTAGAGCTTGCTTCCGAGCTGTGCGAGTCTCCACTGGTAGCTCATATTGGTGTCGTACTTTATACTGTTTCGTACTCTACGGTGTTTATACTGAACTATCCTATATTATATTGCAGCATCTTGTGGTATGAATTACGATAGTATACTATACTAGGTCGTGTTCTACTGCAGTACACTGTTATACTGCATCAAACTATAATGTACGGCATATGTGGGCATATGTATACATTGTACTATGTACACCTGGAGGGACTCCATTTGTCAAATGTCAGCAGTCGTTCGGCTATGCAGCCTCTCTCTTCCCGTTTTCGCCCCTTCCCTTCCTAAAAGTTTGCATACATATTGCATGTATATGCGATGAATGCGCACACACACACACGTTCATGCAGTATATGTGGGTTAGATATGTACAAATTTAGGCAGACAAATAGATGGATAGCTGTATGGATGGATAGATGACGAATACCTGCGCCCCTGACGTATGACTGTCAGAGACTATCAAGTCTGGGGATCTTTCACTCTTTCCGAAATCCCACGCAACGGAGCCTCCCAGTGCACGTTCCACTTCCTTCTGCCGCGCAAGGTCCTGGGTTCAAAGGTCCATGGATGATGGTATGGCTGCCGTGATCAACAGCACACCTGCCGCATGTATGTGTAATATTGATGTAAGTACAAATACGTATTTGCGTAACTGCTGCTTGTGATATTGAAGTGCTGCTCATCATATCGCTCCAACTATGTTGATTTATTGACGTTTGTATTGCAAGTGGAAGGTTTAGGACACATCCCCATGACGAACTGCCTGCATCGATATCTACGAGTCGTTTCGCGGTCAGAATATTTGTGTGTTTTTCAGTGTTTCATCCAGCCCGCCACTCCTGGCCAAATAAATGGCCCGTTCACTGTCTGTACCCCTAAGTAACACTCTGCCCTACGCTTACCAAACTCTTTCGAACTCGGACGCAGCCACCGGGGCCTTCACCGGGTTCAGGAATTCAACTTGGGGACATTAACAAGGAGACTGGGGCTCTCATAATCACCATTACCATATGGGTGTAGGGTTTAGGGATTATCATATAGTAACTCTTAATACTGAGAACCCTCAGATAGGGCTTCGGTAAGTATCCAGGATTCAGAGTTCAGGCGCCAAGTCTCCAATGTCCCTTTGTCCGTCCAGTTCTTCCGGACGGTCCTTCGGCGGCTTGGGATTTGGACTCTCGGGATTGCAGAGCTTAGTGCTTAGTTCGAGGATGGCAAATCAATACATGAAAGCCACTTGATTGCCACATCCATCTACCACTGCAAGCACCATGCATTATTCCAGACTATCGGAGCAGGATTGTGGTTCAGGCTTCAGGGCTTTGTATGCAAGAGTGGGGGTAGCACCAGCCAAGCTCGCATAAAAAACGTGAAGTTTTTTAACACCCCCTGAACCCGAGATGCCAGCTCATCGCCGCTCTTCGGCATACGATGTGTTTGCGGTGGAAATGCGTGTTCTTCTGGGGGTATGGTAGCAGTCAGCGCATCAGCCCATGAGATCCCGGACTTGAGGTCGGGTTTCACAGGTGGCAGACCAAAAAACCTCTAGGTTCATCAGTAACCCCTTAGTAATAAGGGTACCCCTTTTCCTAATGTTCGACTATAATAAGGAGACCCCCCCAAAAAGAGGGACCAAAACCCTAAACCCTAAACCCTAAACCCAAACAGAAGGGGCAAAAAGGGTACTGCTGGGGAACCTAGACCTAGGGGCCTTCGGTTCGAGGGGGAATTTTGCTAAGTACACTCGGAGTAGACGGGGATGCAGAGTTAGGGGTTAGGGTTTAGGGGTTTAGGGGTTAGGGTTTAGGGTTTAGGGGTTTAGGGTTTAGGGTTTAGGGGTTTAGGGTTTCGGGTTTAGGGCACCAGGAGGGGTGGGGCTGTGGGACTCCTAAAAATCGAAATAGATCTGAGGAGCCCCAAGGCCCGAAGATCAAAAACCTGAACCCCCCTGTGTCAAACCACAGGCCCCACATCTTTAACCCTGAAAGCTTTCAGCCCAAGCAACCTAGGAAAAGAGGATCCAGCTACCAGATGTTCAAAATCCCAGAAGACTCGACTTCAAGCAGACCTCGCGGATGGATGACGCCGGACTCCACTAACCACCGAAAATACCTTCCATTCCAATCGCTAAAGAACCATGCTGCGTCAGAGTCTACCCCAAAACCCGACTCCCAAAACCGACCACTGTATCAGGCGCAGGTGGTCGTCGCCAAGTGTCGGGGGCGTCTCTGGGCCAGCGAGCGTTGTCGCATCGCCGAAGTCGATGACTGCGACGGCACCCTCGGCGCGGAGAGGACCTGCCCAAAGGTTTTAAGCGGAATGGAGCCAGTTCGAAGGGTCGGGGCAGTTAGTATGTTCCCATTTTACTATAGGGCTATTTATATGAGAAATCTTTATACAAGTTTCTGGTGCTCACAAGACTCATGGGTGTATACAGCTCTCAAAAACGCTAACGCCCTAGGCTTCGAATTACAGGATGCTCACAAGCTTCCCCACCCCCCGCCCCCCAAATCAACCCACACTAGCATTATCCTAAACCCTGAAACCATCTGCGTAGAACCACTATCCTAAGCCCTGAACCCTAAATCCCATAAACCTAACTTTTGGCGCACCCCTAGAATCAGCAGAATTCGTGGCCAGACCTTCGTCAAAGTTGGCACCCATCCACTGGTAGGTCCTCGGCTTGAATACCATTGGGCTTAGGGTTTATGGTTGAGGGTTCGAATCCCAACTCAAGCCCTGAAACCGAACGTCACTGCCGAGACTCGACATCAAGCTTGCGCCTTAAGCTTCCCTCCGGATTTGGAGACTTATAAGATACTTTGGGAGTGCCTGGGAGTCTCTGCTGGCACAAGCGCATCCGACAAAATAAGCAGATGAGCTCCCACACAAAAGCAACGCCACAACATACCCTAGACATTTCAAAACCTGAGCCCTGTGTAGTTTATACGGAGAATCTTACTTTTTGGAGGCCTTGTGTTCCCCGTGCGTTGGAACTTCGCATGAGGTGTTTAGGGTGTAGGGTCGTGTTCGGTTGGGGACTTTGTATTTGGCCAAGGCTTCAAGTCATCCCCAGTACTTAGAGCTCAGGGCTTAGGAATGCAGTATCCTAAACCTCCTGGCCCGAAAACCCAAGCACTTAAGTCTTGGAGCCTAGGAGTTTCGTTCACCATGTAGCCATTTCTGTCCCTAAGCCCTAAACCCGTGAAGGGTCTGTAGGGGCTACTCGATTCTTGCTACGGGATTTTTTAAGTTACTATAATAAGGAAACCATAATATCTGTCATAGATCCCTATTTTCAGTAACTTAAAACAAATCCCTCAAGAAGAACCCGGTTAAGGGAGCCTATAATAAGGAAACCCTATTATCTGTCATAGATCACTATTTTTAGTAACTTAAAAATACATCCCTCAACCCTAAACCCTAAAACCCTAAACCCTAAACCCCTAAACCCTAAACCCTAAACCCTACAAGAACCCGGGGTTAAGGGAGCCTGACACCTTTTCCCCTGGAAGGTCCCAGCTCGGCCCAGGGCCTGAAGACAGCAAACTCAAAACGCCCCGACAGGGTCAGGAGTGAGGGTTTCGGGAGTTTGGGTGGGTTTAGGGGTTTAGGGGTTTCGGGTTTAGGGGTTTAGGGGTTTAGGGGTTTAGGGTTTAGGGGTTTAGGGCTTAGGAATAAATTTAGGGCCGAGAGTTTATAAAGGGTTCAGGGTTTTAGGGGACCCTAAACCGTGAAGCAGATGAAACCGTGAAGCAGATAAAACCGTGAAGCAGATGATTGTAGTTCCTGGACACCTTTTTGCAAAGAGGCCACCCAACTGCGCTTGATACCTATGCACGAGTGCCACATGCTAAAAAGCCTGTACGATGTCATCCTTAAGCCTTAAGCCCAAGACTCATTCCTGTGTTCCCCACCGCCTGAACCATAAACCTCATCAAAGCTGGCTCCTGCAGACAGAACCTCAGAAGGCACAAACCCTTGCAAACGCGAACCCTAAGTGGCCCTCAACAGCAAGCCATCCCAGGCACCATTTTACCTTGAAGTTCAGATCCCAGGTGTGCCGCAGTTGACCACGCACCTGCTGCACACGGTTTCAGGGGTGGCTTGCTTGAACTGGTGGGGTGCATGTGGAGTGTTGCATGTGAGTGGGGTTCCGTTCTGTAGAATAGGGGGGCCAAAATAATTACCAATACTGATTTGAGGCCGCTAAACAAAATTTTAACATTCTAAGAGGCTTGGGTTTTTGCTTTTGCAGAATGGAGGGGCCCAAATAATAACCAATACTGTTTCGAGGCTCGTCATTATAACCATATTATTCCCCATACATGCATGCATACAGACATACACACATACACACATACACACACACATACATACATACATACATACATACATACATACATACATACATACATGCGTACATGCGTACATACATGCGTACATGC